CACGGCTTTTTTTGAAAATATAGGACACGGGTACGGCGCGGACACGGCAATACATTATTTTACATAGTATATATATATATATATATTAATGTAATTTGTTGGCAAATAATTTTATGGCAGTTATGACTGATCGTTGGATCTAATAGTTTTTAGGTCCAACCAAGGAAATTAAATGGTGTCAGAATCAATGCAATATGTAATAAATAAAAATTAATAAAAAAAAAAATCCCTGCAATATGTTCTAACGAACAATCACTGGCATATTCAGTAGGGTCAGAATTTGGTTATTTACTCGGCCAGGGAGATGTTGTATTCTCAAAGGATTTGAAACAAATTTATGTAAATCATAAATTAATTAGATAGATCTGTAATTTTTGTAAGGTTCTATATGACAAAGATTTATTTTTATTTTATTTTTCAGATAATTTCTATAATTATGTTTGATTACTATTTGTTATTTTCTCTTTAATTTTAATAGTTTTTGTGACAAAAATATTATTTATGATAACAAATTATTACATGGATTTTATAAAATCCCTTACTTTTCTCATAACTTCACAATCAATTTAATAAAATTTTGTTGTCTACTATTTTATCGTTGTTTTATCGAAAATTTTTATCATAATTTTTTATGACAAAAAATTATTTTTGTAATAAAAAATTTAAGTAATTTTTTTTCATAATATCTTCACGATCAAATTTATAAAATACTGTAACTGTTAGAAAGATGAATAATTATTAGGTCCGGTGATCGGATGTAGCTCTACGTGCGGTCACCACTGAGATCGTGCCACGTGCTCTTACTCTTTACCGCACGGCCCGAGGACTTGACCCAAACCGGAACCCGGGAATGCTATGTTCGTGTATTGCTAGGTATTACTCGGTATTTGCTCGGTATTGCTAGGTATTGCTTGACAATAACGAGAAATACCGCTCTGTGAAGACCAATACCGAGCAATACCGAGTTTTTTTTATAGAAAAACTCGATATTGCTCGGTATTGCTTGGTATTACTCGGTATTGCTCGATATTTGTCTTCACATAATGGTATTTCTCGTTATTATCGAGCAAAATCGACAAATACCTAGCAATACCGGTTTGTCATGGATTTAAAAACGCACGTGCGACATACCCACTATTCGCCGGGTCGGATCCGCCGTTTTGTGCCTGCTACGTGGCGCTATCTCAGTGCCGGCCGAACGTAGCTCTACGCCCGTTTACCGGACCAAATAAAAGTTCTAGAAAGAGAGCCTAAATGGTTCATTTTTAAGAGCTTGCTTTTTAATGGAGAAGCTCAATTTGAATGAAAAGATTTTTTTTTGGCCGTATTGAAAGTGCAATAACTTTGTAAGGAAAACCATTTGCATGAATTTTCAAATGTAATAACTTCGTAAGGATAACCATTGAATGGATTTCAAATGTGTAGTGGAGCTGTGGAGCTTTCGTGGTGATAGATAGTTCATCTCTTCAATTGTTGTGGTTGAACAAACCCTTTATAGAAGTAAGATGGAGAAAATATTTATAATGGTGGAGGATTTTATATTGATCTTAGTTTTATGATGATAAATCTGATCAAATGCTCATAAACTATATGATATCATAGTCACAAAAGAGAAATAAGCAATCATGTTAAAATATTAGGGTTAGGCAAAAAATTATCTTGATCGGGCACGAATCTCGAGGCAAAATCGAACAGGAAACTTCAAAAAATTAAATTCGGGATCACCTGAACTCCGATTTCAACAAACTTATAGTCAAACTGAGTGTCTCGGAAATACAAACCCAACCACACCAAATTCGACTCAATCCGAGCCCAAATAAGTCCAAATCAAGGACCCGAAGAGCGGTTGAAAAGTTTGTACCACAATTTTAGTTACCAAACGGTTTTTGAATTTGACGAGCTTATAGTCAAATCGAGCGGCTCGACGAGACGAATCCAACGAGCCCAAGATCTACAAATTCAGAATTCATTAAGACCATCAAATGCCTGATAAATTGTCCATGATCGAAAGATTCAATATCGTCCGTTCATCCGAACCACTCCATATTTGCCCCTGATCCCTCATCTATTTACGGGCCATGCCACTCCAGAAAATCTATAAATAGGCCCCTCATTTCTCATGAGAGGGGACCTAAGCTAGAAGCAAGAAGAAGAGAAGAAGAAGATAAGGATTGGAGGGAAGAACTCTTCCACGATCATCGCCGGAATTCTGCCCGACGCCCGAGTGACGCCGGAATTCCGCCGGACGCCAGAGTTACGCTGGAATATTGCCAGATGTCCAAGTGACACCAGAATTCTCCCCAACGCCCAAGAGACGCCAAAATTCAACCTGACGCTCAAGTGACGCCAGAATTCCGCCCGATCTCCAATTGAAGCCAAAACTCTGCCCAATGTTGTGATTGGATTTCAATCCGGAAGTGAAGCATTGTAATCTGATCGTCCTAAATTTTAAGGATGAATCAGTCTCTTGTATTTTCAAACAAACACTAGTGGAGTTATTTCAACTGGGCGTGACCTCGTGGTTTTTTCTCTTTCCATGATTTTCCACGTAAAAATCCTAGTGTTTCTTTTTCTCTCATGTTTGTGTGTTAGATGTCAGTACAACGCTGAGATGGAAATTTTCTAACTTTATCGCCGCATATATTCTAGCCTGCAACAGGTTCAAATTTAGATTTTTTTCGGCACAATTTTTTTATTATTTGTTAGACTTATTTTAAATGTAGTAAGAAAGTTGTCTCAAACGAAGCTTTAATATTGATTGACGCTCATGTTTAGTCCAACAAAAACATAGAGAAGTGAAATATCTAAATATGAATGATTTTTTCAAGCAATTAGCAAGTTGGATGAGTTTATCGAATGTATTCTCATAGCCAAAAGCTCAAACCAAAATCACAAAAGCAACTATTCAAAACAAAGCCCATTTGCCACACGATAATTAAAACTTAGCAAAAACGGCAAGGCATGGAAAAACCATCAACATCTTATCAATTAGTAGCAAAAAATATATGGCAACAATGAAGAATTCTAGATACAAAATTATAGAAAAATACCTCCATTATAGGGCATCATAGAGAGTTCTACACTTATACTCTCAAGTATTCGCTTTGTGGTCTTGAGACGGGTTATTGTCGGAGCTTCTATGTAACTACTAATTACTCCAATGACATAAAATATATTAGGCCTTATAAAGGTTAAGTAACACAAACTTTTGACAAGAGTTTGGTAGAGAATTGAATCCATTTTTTCTCTCTCATCATTCTTGAACAACTTGATTGCATGTTTTATCAGCATGCCAATGAGATTAGACTTTAGAGTCATGCATCAATCTTAAACTTCTTGAGGGCTTCGTTCGCATTGTCTTCTTGAGTGATGATGATGCGTGTATTATCTTTCCTCACTTCAATGTTGATGTAGTAAAACAGTAGCCCGGTATCTACCATCTCAGTTTCTTCGGCCATTTTCTTCGGTCATTTTCTTCTAGAACACAATAAGGAGGGGTGTCAAATCAGATTTCGGGTCGGGTTCGAGTCGTACTCGAAACTGATTTGAACGGGTCGACCCCAACCTGACTCAGTTATGTAAACGGGTCGGATGTTCAGACCTAGACCCAGACCCGACCTGTAGGGTTACCGGTTTGACCCTGACCGACTCAGTTGGACGACTAGACGGCGACGGAGGAACAGCGGCCGACAAAACGAAGGACTGCGAGGCTGGGTTGACGGCCAGACAGCTCGATGCAACGCGCATATAGCTCAGACGATGTGCTGTCTAGGACACGACACCCGGGCAGCTCAGACGAGATGCAAGGGCGGCGTGAGTAACTCAAACGCGACTCGGGGGTGGGTGCGGACAGCTTGAACGCAAATGCGAGGGCGAACAGTTAGGACACGACAGGCAGTCAGGCTTGGAAACGAGGAGCGGGCAACACAGCCAGCTCATTTCAAACAGGTTTCCGGGTCAACCCGAACACGATCCGTTTTTTCAAACATATCGAATCCGGAAATCCGAACCCGACTCGTTTACGAAATGGGTTGACCCTAATCCAAAATTTTTTGGGGTCGGGTTCAAATCAGATTTTCAGGTCGTGTCAAATATTGACATCTCTATCAATAAGCATGTTTGTATTATTATCCAAAAAAAAAAATCAAGCCATGTACATATCATGGTATAAAATGCATGCTTTTATTGATACTCGGTGAAATTTTTTTCTTGGAAGTCCCATTAGATTCAAATATTTGAAGCTCTTAGTGCTTGCTTTCGATTATACCGTGTCTTTTTAAATTTCAAGACTTTGACTTCATTTGAAAACTGCTCTAGAAATTAATAAAAAAATTCATCACAAATGAAGCCTTAGTTTTCTAGCCCGATTACTTCGTAACAAGAAGTTGTTTAATGTAAACTTCTTCTTCAATATCTTTTTCAATAAAATGAACTTCACATCTATTTGTTTCTGAAACTCTGTGTTGTTCCATAAATAGAGATTCTCTTCTACTTTTTGGTAAAGAGCGAAGATCGAAATCAGCACAGGAGTCTCTTCTACCATAAATATCTTCTTCATCTTATTTCACCAAACAAGCAGTTAGCAGCAAAAGCAAGAAGAAACCTATAAAAATAAAAAAGTATTTTAATTAATGATAATTAATTATAATAATAAATACAACTTATTCTTAATTAAAATCAAGCTTTGTGATAATACTAATAGGATAATATACTAATTCTAATAATAGGTAAT